CAAGCTTTCTTCACATGTCAATCCCTGCTCCCTCCCCCTCCCCCCAAACCTTCCCCACCAACCCCCCACACCTGCCCCTCACCCTACCCCCCTCTACTCCCCAGAGAGGGTAGGGCCCTCCACGGGGGCTCCCCAAAGTCCATCACATCATCCTGGGCCAGGCCTAGACCCTGCCGCATGTGTCCAGGCCGAGACAGCATCCCTTCACCTGGGATGGGCTCTCAAAGTCCCTTCTTAGACCAGGGAAAAATACTGATCCACTACCAGGGGCCCCATAGAGTATGAAGGCCTCCTCATTGATATCGGTGTTCAGGTGTCTGGATCAATCCCATGCTGGCCTCCCAGACAGTAGTCTGGGGTTGATGTGCTCCCCCTTGTTCAGGCCAGCTGTTTCTGTGGGTTTCTCCAGCCTGGTACCGACCCCTTGGATCTTCATTTCTCCCTCTCTACAACTGGGTTCCCGAGTTCAGTTCAGTGTATATCTGTGGGTGTCTGCCTCTGCTTCCATCAGCCACTGAATGAGGGCTCTAGGATGCCATATAAAGTAGTCATCAGTCTCATTCAAGGGAAGGCCATTTAGGGTATCCTCTCCACCATTGCCTAGATTGTCAGTTCGTGTCATCCTTGTAGATCTCTGGAAATCTCCGTGGTGCCAGATCTCTCCTAGGACCTATAATGGTTCCCTCTGTTATGGTATCTCTCATCCTGTTCGACTCTATTCTTCCCCCTACTCAACATTTCTGCTCTTCCATTTCCTCCTCAAGATCTTCACCAACCCCACATCTGACAGAGGGCTGATTTCCAAAAAATACAATGAACTCAAGAAGCTAGCCACCAAAACACCAAACAATGAAATTAAAAAGTGGGGTGCAGAACTAAATAGAGAATTCACAACAGAGGAAGCTGAAATGGCTGAAAGACACTTAAGAAAGTGCTCAAAATCCTTGGCCATCAGAGAAATGCAACTCAAAACAACTCTGAGATACCATCTTACCCCAGCCAGAATGGCTAAATTTAAAAACCCCAGTGACAATCTATGCTGGAGAGGATGTGGAGAAAAAGGAACACTCCTCCATTGCTGGTGGGAGTGCAAACTTGTAAGTAGTATGGCGGTTGTTCAGAAAAATGGGAATCAGTCTACCTCAAGATCCAGCAATTCCTCTCTTGGGCATATACCCAAATAATGCACGTTCATACAACAAGGACATATGTTCAACCCTGTTCATAGCAGCATTGTTTGTAATAGCCAGAACCCGGAAGCAGCTAGATGCCCCTCAACTGAAGAATGGAGAGAGAAAATGTGGTACATTTATACAATGGAGTACTACTCAGCAGAAAAAAGCAATGGAATCTTGAAATTCGCAGGCAAACGGATGGAACTAGAAGAAACCATCCTGAGTGAGGTAACCCAATCACAAAAAGACAAACATGGTATGTACTCACTCATATATGAATTGTAGACATAAAGCAAAGGATTACCAGCCTACAATACTCTTTATCAAAGAAACTAGCAAACAAGAAGGACTCTAAGAGAAAAATGCATGGGCCCCGGAGAATGGGAATGGCTGGGATCTCTTGACCTTGCTATTTTTAAAAGGGAGCTACTACCTTGATTATTTTATGATTGGTTGTTTTTGTTCTGACCCTTCCCAATTATAAATTTTTATTTTCTCACCAACAGTGATGAGCAAATATTATATTCCCTTCAAAAAATTCAAGGTATTTATTGACATGATCAAAGGGAAAATTAGATTAAAAGGCATGAATCAGGTGAATTGTAAAGGAGTTTAAATCTCATATATTCAGACACACAATCTCAGATGAGAACATCCTTAAGAAAGTGCTGTGGTAACAAATTTAAGTCACCTTCCCTTCATAACCCTTTGAGAGAACAAATCTTGTGTTGAGTATTTTAACAAAACATCAAGGTTTTATTACATGTTTGACCAGATTTAAGAAAAATAGCATTTCATTACTTAAACATGTTTTATTACATGTTTGACCAGATTTAAGAAAAATAGCATTTCATTACTTCTTTTCAGCAGTAGGTCCCCTGTTCTTGGAAGAGTACACATGATAATAAATATTTTCCTGTAACAAAATGATTACTGGGTGTGTTTTATTCAATTTTCATTTTTTGCTCCAGAGTAATTTCTGAGAAGTACTTATTCTATTTCTTAGAGAGCAGTCACCTGCTGCTAGATGACCAATTATTATGCAGCTTGTTTTATAAAAATCACACCCAAAGATAATGCATTTTCTCAGTAAATGATAAGATGGAGGCTAAGAAACAACCTCTTAGATGCTTTACAGATGGTCTTTTTTACACCAGTTCCTACTCTTTATTTTAAAACATCATCTGATCGATGAGAGGTCACTTACAGCTAAATTGGCAGTTGCTGGGACAATCATTAAAGGGATGCATTCAATAACGAAAAAATCCAATTACCTTCTACATTAGAGAAATCAAATTTATTTCTGGTGTTGGTCAAGGGCAGTCTTTATTGGAAAAGAAGCAGGAAATGGAGAGTGGAGGGGATGTGAAGGGGGGCTGTGTGGTGTAAACAGTACGTTACAGTGTGTGGTATAAACATGATGCACGACTGTGTGTGGTATAAATGCAATAGGTGACTGCTGATGCTTCTTTCACAGTTAGACAGTAGAATGTGAAATTGCAGGTCTGTTTTTCTAAGCTAGGAGAAATGTGTTTAACTGTTTGGGTCTCATAACCCTCCGCTTT